ATAATTTTCTAATTTTTCATTATTTTATTTTAGATATTAAGAATTCCAAAAGAAGAGTCAGTTCAAGAAAAACTTGTAGCTTAAGAAGCTAAGATATAAGAGTTTTAAGAAGAAATTATAAAGTTGCAAGAAGAGGTGAAGCAACTTAAGAAAAAAAATAGAACTTTGTGATATCAAAAATCAAAATTAGATTTAGGAAAGGAGAAAAAAAAAATTTGGAAGGAAGTTCATTTAGTTTTGAAGAGTAGTTTAAATTAGACTCTTGTAAAGTAGATATTAAATAAAGAGTTGATTAAAAAAAATCTAGGAGTAGATTCAGGTAGTCTACTAAAAGAAAATTAAATTCTGTAAATAAATTTTTGTAAATAAAAATAAATTGTTCAAAAAATAAAAATAAAGTTTGAAAATTGTTTAATAAACTTCTAAATAAAAAAATAAAGGTTTAAAAAGTAGTTCAAAAAAAAAATAAATAAATCTATTTCTAAAATTGTTTTAAAATTGTTTGAGAAAAAAAAATAAATAAATCTAAGTCTAAAATAATTTAAAAATTTAATATATTTTTATCAGGTTTTAAAAATTTTCACTGAAAATTCTAAGTTTCAAAAATTACTATAAATTAAAAATTAAACTAAAAATCAAAATTAAAGTATTCTTAATTGAATAAAGAAAATACTTAAAGTATATTAAAGATATTAAAATAAAATTGCTATTACTCAAATAAATAGTAATATCAAATAAAATAATAAAATAAAAAGATAGCAGATATTATAACTTAAGAGGTATCACCTATACTCATTAGTTAGAATTGCTATGCTTTAAGCTAGAATTAAACTTTTGACCTAGAGATTAACTAGGTATATATATTCAAACTATTATTCTACAACTACTTAATATCTAAAATTTTTTACAGACCTTTTTTAAGTAACAAAACTTTGCTAACAATTGTCTAATAAAATAATTTAAATTTGGTTATATGAAATTAAAATTTTAAAATATATAAAGTTTTTAGATAAGATTAATAAAATTAAACTTTAAAAAAAAAAATTTTAAAAGTTTAAAAATAATAATAACAATAATAATAAAAATAATATTTTACTATTCTTACCATTCTTACTGTTCTTACTATTCTTACTATTCTTATTCTTAATTGTAAAAAGCTATATAAACCCTAATTTTTCTTTTTTCTGTAAAGTTAGTTCTGTTGTCTTTTATAATACTCAATAAGTTTAGTAGTTAATAATTTAATATTCAATAAAGTTCTAAGTTCTCTATTAGTTCTTTAATAAATATAATCTTTTGGCTTTAAAAATAAACTTTACTAATAAACTATTACAGTAATATAATATTCTACTTTAACATTATTAGGAGTCTTCTTTCTGTATCTTATATTACTTGAAATATATTAAAAATACTATACTACTTGTAATAGTATAAACTTTTTTACTAGTATTCTTTAGTTAAATACTCAGTATTAGATACTTTATCATTATCTAATTTGATATCTAAGAGGCTTAAGCTGTAAGTATTCTAATTAAATCTTCTTTTATACTCTTTGCTATATAATATTCTTTTTTCTATATCTATTATTTTATTTTTTACTTTCTCATCTTTTTCTTTTGCTTAGCTGAGTCTGAAATTAAAGTAGAATATAGTGAATTTTGTATTGTTTATACAATCTTTTTTATTTTTGAATTATACTATTACATTTATTTTGTTGTTGTTATTAGAGTTTTTAAAAATATGTAATGTTTTAGCATTTGTTTATTTTACTTGTCTCTATAAGAAGACTTCATTTGTATCTTCTAATAAGTTAAATAACTTTCTGTTATATATATTGTGCTACTCTTCTAAGATAGCATATTAATTTGAAAACTTGAAATTTTCTTATCTATATAAGTAGATCTCAAATTGTTATATAATTTTTACTTGTCTTTAACTCTAGATTTTGATCTTATTGTTTGTATATTGACTTGTTTTTTGTAGTAATAGCATATTTTAAAGCATCATGCTAAAATGTTTTCTCTTAGTTTGTTTGGAGATTTTTCAAGTTCTCTCTTTACTCTAATTTCTCTCTTAGTCTTGTTTCCTTTTTTTTTTTGCTATTTGGTATCTTTTCTTGTACTTTTCTGTATATGAGTATTTGATAAGTTTCTTCTAGTATGAGTCTTAATTTTTTAAAGTCTTCTTTAGAGTTTTCTAGTTTCATTCTTGCTTCTTTATACCTTTTCTTATAGTCAAAAGTAATTATATACTATAAGTTTTCTGTTTTAAATTTCTTAGAAATTTTCTTTATGTGTATATTCTTTCTGAATAACTATCTTAGAGATTTTTCTCTTTGCTCTATGTTATTACTAAATATATTTATAGCTACTACTTTTGTTTTGATATCTCTTTTATTTATATAGCTTTTTTTTTTTGGAGTCTATATACTTTGGTCTAGAGATACTTTTTATAAACTTCTAAATCTATTTTATTTTCTACTTGTTTTTCTATTACATAATTTTTTTAATTAAATATTATACTACTTGTAACTTTATTTGTTTTTATATTTTCTATATCTTCAAATATGTTGCTATTAACTTTACTAGTTAGTGTAGATTTACAACTAGTTTATTTAGTACTATCTGGTTTTGTATAGTACTTAGTTATCTATAGCTACTTGTTTTTTTTTCTCTAGTTTTATTTCTATTTCTTCTGTTTTTATTTCTTCTTCATTAGTTTAACTTATCTTTTTTTTTTCTTCTGTTTTTATTAATACTCTTACTCTATCAAAACTATCTGTTATTGCAGCTCTTTCAATTACTATATACTACTATTTAACTATCTTAATAATTTTTAATTCTATATCTATCAGATTAGCTATTATTTTATTTAGATATTCTTCTAGTCCTAATACTAAGTTGCTACTTTCTATTACTATTTCTTTGTCATATTTCTTAATAACTTCTTTAATTAGTCTTTTTGTCTTTTCTCTTTTCTATATTTTACTTGCTTTTATTTATTTTTTAATAGCTCTATATAAGTTATTTGTTGTCTGCTATTGTTATACTATATTTCTATTTACTATATCTTTAATAACTTTGTCTTTTTTGCTAAAATTCTCTAGACTTTTTCCTTTTTGCCAGTAGATTATTCAGTTTTAGTTGTGTGTATTTGAGTTCTAGTAAATACTATATGATATATATTACCTTTCTATAATGTATTTGTTTGTTTACCTCTTTTTATATAGTTGTATTATATAAGATGATCTATAGTACAAAGTGTATTCAATTCTCATTTTTTTGCTAAAAACTTTTTTTTTCATAGTTTATTTTATATCAAAACTTCTTCTAGAACTTCTGTTTTTTTTTTATTTTCTCTTTCTTCTACTTTACTATATATATTTCTTTGTTTTCTCTTCTTTTTGTTAATGATTCTAGTACTGTTTTTTAGTGAAAATTTAGTGTTTTTCTAATTTTTTCTTCTGCTCCAAAAATGGTCAGAATGATCAATAAAGAGAGTTAGTTAGTATTAGTTTTTTAGTTGCCAAATATCTAAATAGAACTAGTTTAATATGATATTAAAGAGATTAATAAAGAAGTTTGTAGTTATTTTGTTGAGTTTGTATTAGATTTGTATATAGATTGTTGTAGAATTGTTCTTTTAATTGTTAATAGTTTAGTTTGTTTTATTATTCTTTTTGTTTATTATAATATAATTTTTTCTTATCTAGTAGCAAATATTATTGTAGTAGTTAGATCTATAAGCTTATTTGCTTATATATTAATAGTATATTCAAATTAGACCTTGAATAAAAAATTAGAAATTTTGTAAAAAAAATATTTTTGCAATTTATTCTATTCTTAAGTTCTTTAAATTTATTAACAAATTATTTATTGAAACTATTTTTTGTTTTATTTTAATTGATAATCTACTAGTCATATAAAGAATAATCTTAGTATAATATAATACAGATCTCTATATATTTTACTATAATCTAGAATATAGCATGTATCTATCTAAAACTTTTTTTGTATTAAGTTAATAATCAAAATTAATTAAAAGTTGTAAAAATTATTAAAATATATTTAACAGTAGTTAGATTGTTTAAATTAGCCTAGTCTGACAAATTTAATAATGATAGTAATTTTTATATAGTAATCTTTTATGGTGTTCAGAAATCAGCAATGTAGAATCCGCCAGAATTCTGCTTCTGACCCACTTGCGAAAAACCATCCTAGCATCGCCCAAAAATCTGTTACATATTGGCATTAAATTAACATTCCGACAAATTACAATAAGCTATTGTAAATAATTCAAGGCAAATACATTATTATTATTATTATTTTGCACATTCAATACATATACATATATGTATATAGTATTAGATATAAGTGAAAAAAAAACTATCTTTAAAAATGTTTTTGCATAATGAATTTATTTTGCCCAATTTTTTTAACTTTCATAACTAATACAATTCGAAAGTTTTGCAAAGAAGTAATTTAAATTCATTGTTTATTTACTACTATAATGTCTTATATTATCCTATGCATCAACCAAAGATAATAAGTATTTTTTACAAATAGCCTTTGTCTAAATATTCTCTTAATGAATCTTATATTAAATAAATCAACCATAATCTAATTCTAAGTTTTTCTTAATATTTTCGAATTTTCAAATTTTCACAAGTTCTTTACAATCTTTTTTGACTGCATTTAACTTTTTTTTTTTTTTTTTGATGAGGAATTTTGATAAATTTTACTGTTTAAAAAATTATTGTTAGATATAAACAATATAATAATAATAATAGAATGAATCTAATTGTAACATCTGTTATATGTAACAACCTCAGAAAATTAGATCGGAACCAATTAACCACAGAAAGAACCTCAAAAGAATCCAAAAAAAAAAAAAACTATCAAGAGGATTCTAAACAAACCTCAAAAAATCAGTTCTTGTTAGGTCATTCTGGATTCACTTGGGGTTTTACCAGTGCCAGAAGAACCTCAAAAGAATCCAGAATGAACCACCAAGAAGAACCTCAAAGGAATCCAGACCAAAAAGCACTATCGAAATCACCAAAAGCATCCAGAGAAGTCCCAAGAACGCCAAATCGCTGGAAAAACTCAAAAGAATCCATAAGAACCGCCGGAAGAGCTCAAAGAATCCAACAAGCACCAAATTGCCGAAGTACCTCAAAAAAAATATATATATCCAGAGAAAAGTCCCAAGAATCGCCGGAGAGCCTAAAAAAAAATCAAAAAAGAACCAAGATTATTGAAGTACTCAAAAAGAATCCAAAGTCCCAAAGAACAGTTAAAGAATCCAAAAAGGATCAAATAGTCAGAAGTACCTCAAAAAAATCCAAAGAGAAAAGTCCAAGAATCGCCGGAAGAACTTAAAAGAATCAAAAAGCACCAAATCGCCGGAAGTACTTCAAAAAGAATCCAGAAAAAGTTCAAGAGCCTCCGGAAGAGCCCAAAGAATCGAAAAAGAACCAAGATCACCGAAAGTACCTCAAAAGAATCCAGAGAAAAGTCCCGAGAGCCTAAAGAATCCAAAAAGTACATCAAAAATTTCAGAAAAAGTCCCAAAACCTCTAAAAAAAAAAAAAAAATCAAAAAAAGAACCAAGACCACTGGAAGAACCTCAAAAGAATCCAGCGAAAGCACCAAGAACCGCCGGAAGAGCCAGAAAAAAAAACGAAAACACCAAGGATCGTCGGAAGAAAAAAGAATCCAGAGAAAGCACCAAGAACCACCGGAAGAGCTCAAAAAAATCCAAAAATACCCAAGATTCGCCGGAAGATCTAAAAGAATCCAGAAAAGTCCTAAAAACCGCCGTAAGAGCTTAAAAAACTAAAACCACTACTACCAATAATCGACGGAAAAACTTCTAAAGAATCCAAAAGAACCACAAAGGTCAGAAAGAATCATTGGAAGGATCTCAAAACCAGAAAACCTATCCAAAAACGAAGAAGACTTTCCAGATGAGCCGCAAAAGTAGAGAACCACCAAAATCGCCGGAAGAACCTCAAAAAAGATCGAAAAAATCGTCGTAGTTAGTACAGTAAAATAAAATAAAATGAAATAAAGACGATAAAATTGTCATTGATATAAAATTAAAATTTTAATAGATAACACTTGAACGAAGATGCAAATCAGTCATCGAACAAAATTGTTCGATGTCCAGGTCACACCACGAGGAGGTTTGCATCATGTGA